TATTTTCACCAAAAGATAAAAAAAAAAAAAAAAAAAGGTTTCCAACTGGAGGTAGTTGGGGTGTGGAAACCAGAGGCAGGCTAACTAGAAGTGGGGCATTTTATACGTTTGATTTGGGGAGCATATTTGACTTTCTCTGGTTGGTTTTGAGTTGGGAGCAAGGGCAACAAATAGTGAAGCTGGTAGTGATTGACCAAGTCCTGACTGTTCTGGGTTGATTGCTGCAGAGGTTGTGGTTTGGCTTCTGGGCCGGTTGCTGCAGAAGTTGTGGGTCAGAGTTCTATTTTTAGAGATTGTCTGGCTGTTGTCAGTTTGTATATTCAGTCTCTCACTATCTGTCCTGTTGCGCAAGCCAAAAACCAAGGAATCATCTTTAATACTTCCTTCCCCGCCTCCCATACCCAATCCATCACCAAGTCCTATAAATCTACCCCTCGTCAAATATCTGTCCAGTCTGTCACTTCTTTCCATCTCCATCACCATAACATCAAACTGTTTTCTCCTTTCATCTACTAAACAGCCTCCTAACTTGGTCTGTCTGCCTCCACTGCCCCCTCCTCAATCTATTGGCAGAGTAATTTTTTTTCAAAAACATCATCTCTATGCTTAAATTACTTTAGTGGCTTCCCACAGGATAAAGACCAAATCTTTAGCATGGCCTCCAGTGCTCTGCATGATCTGGCTGCCATCCTCAGCCTCTTCTTTCTTTCTGCTTGAGTGAAACTGGCCTTCGTTCAGTTCCTGGCTCATCCTCCCACCTGTCACAGTGGATTTATTGGAAAGCTATGGGCAGCTCCAGAATCCAAGGAATAGTGCAAGGACCAGAGTAGGAGCCTGTACAGCTCCAGGGATACAGGTAGTAGAAGCAAAATGAAGTCTCATCAGGGCACCTATGATGGGACATATTAGCTCCAAAGCTCCCCCGCTCCCTGCATCACTCTGCTTAAAACCCAAAATCCCAGAGGGCAATTAAATAGCCCTGTCTGGCTTGGGTTACAAACCTATCCCTTGGTCAGGACACCTTGAATAAAAGTCTCAATAAAGCTTTAAAACACAAGGATAAAGGAATTCCCCAAAAGGAAATTGGGGAGTTCTTACTGAGAAGAAGAGGAATAGATGCAGGATGGCCAAAAAATCAACAAATGTCCACTAAACACAAGTGTTTTCCACTACCTGGAATGCTTTCCTCTCTTCCCTATTTAGGTAGTTAATCCTCCTAAATTTTCAGGTCCCAGGTTAACTGTCCCTTCATTAGGAAAGCCTTCAGGTTGAATTCTATCTCAAAAAGTTGAAGTCCTAACCCCTCCCTGGTACTTGGGAATGTTGCCTTATTTGGAAAGAGTCTTTGCATGTAATCATGTTAAGATGTGGTCATGCTGGAGTAGGATTGTCCCTAAATGAATAATTTCTTTTATAAGAAATCAGCACAAATCTAGTTTCTATGTGGCAGAGGTTAAAGATGTCCCAAATGTTCAGCTTCTCCAAACTGCTGTACCACTCCACCATCTCTAAAATAACTACTCTTTCTCCCCTCAGTACTCTTCCTCCTGTCTTAGGATCTGGTAATTCGCTGCAATGTCTCACAGAACTCAAGAACCATACTTAAAATTATGGGGTTTATTAGAGAAGTAATGAACAGGTTACAACTCGGGGTCAGGATCAACTCAGAAGTAACAGAAACAATTCAGGATACAGTTCTTCAATCACCGAACCATACTTAAAATTATGGGGTTTATTAGAGAAGTAACAGGTTACAACTCGGGGTCAGGATCAACTCGGAAGTAACAGAAACAATTCAGGATACAGTTCTTCAATCAGAACAGCTTCTTCTCTGCTGCTACCACTGGACCCTGCTCCAACAAGTGTTAACAGCTCTTAGCTTGGTGGGTCAGCAAGCCTCACCGAAGCCATCTCACACTGCCATCACTCTTGGCTGCTGCCACACTATCTCTCACTGTCTTCAGTGTTACAGTTCCTTCTTCTCTCTCCATGTTTCTCTCTAAAACCTCTGTTAGGGTAGCTGGTTATACAGCAAGCTTATCATCAGTTTCAAGGCATGTTCTCCACCCCTAGCAAGACCACAAACACTTACAAGGGTTCCATGCACCTTATTTGCATTAGCAGACTATCCAATCCCTGCAAGTGTTTCACATACCTTATTTGCATAGTCCCGGCTAGTCATTTAATGGGAGTTACAAGACCATGGCTAGAAAGGCCATATAAAAGCAATTCATTGCACTGCAGGCCTTAATACAAGTGGCTGGTGTCCTTTATGAAGAGGGAAATTTAGATACAGACATACAGGAAAAAACACCATGTGACAGTGGAGGCAGAAATCCAAGTGATGCAACTATAAGCTAAGAATGCCAAGGATTGCTGGCAACCACCAAAAGCTAAAAAGAGGCAAGAAAGGATTCTTCTCTAGAGCCTTCGGAGGGAGCATGGCCCTGCTGACACCTTGATTTTGGACTTCTACCCTCTAGAACTGTGAAAGAATAAATTTCTATTGTTTTAAGCTACTCAGTTTGTGGTTCTTTGTTACAGCAGTCCTAGGAAACCAACACACCTTCCCAAGAGAGTCAACATTCTCTATTCTGTTCTTTCATAGCACCATACACCTCTCCTTCATAGCACTTGCCACTGTGGTGATTTTACACTTATTTGTGATAGTTTGAATTGCATCCACCTCCCCCAATAGGCTAAATGGTCCATGAGAGCAGAGCCCTTGTCTGTTTGGCTCACTATGGTATCTTCAGTGCCTAGCACAGTACCTGGCAAAGCAAAGACAGTCAATAGACATTCATTTGATGCATAAATTAAGCCATAAGGGTACTTATTTTCCCACTGATATGAATTACACACTGCCCCCTTAGCAGGCAAACTCAGCTAAAATGTTCAAACTTTTTTTTCCCATTCATACTTTATCACATACATTTTTCTCATTTTGTCTTTAAAACAATGTAGCATGAATCCATTTTACACACGAAGAAACTGAGGTAGAGAGTTAGGGAATTTGTTCAAGATCTCATACCTAGTAAAAGATCTACAAGGGTTACAAACCCAGGTCTCTGATTCTAAAACTCAAGTTCAAAGCTACTATGTGTGTCCAGTGGTGAAGACCTCTTCATGAGAACATGCCTTTCACAAAGAATCTCTTTCATTCTTCCCCAGAAGAGAAGAGGAAATGAGAAGACGCGTTTGGTGCAGAGCCCCAATTCTTACTTCATGGATGTGAAATGCCCAGGATGCTACAAAATCACCCTGGTCTTTAGCACAAACAGTAGTTTTGTGTGTTGCTTGCTTCACAGTCCTCTGACTGCCAATAGGGGGAAAAGCAAGACTTCCAGAAGGATGCACCTTCAGACAGAAGCAGCCCTAAACACACCTTGAATCAAGATGAGTGGGAAATCATCCCAATAAACACATTTTGGATGCTTTTTTTTTAAGTTACTATGTGATATTGGCTCTCAATAATACTGGTTATCTCCTTAACCAAAGGCCTTAAAGATAGAACTCATTCATCTGTAAAACTGGTTTTCAAATAAGCTCATTTTCATGTAAATCTGATATGCCCCATAAAGGTTAGTATCTTAGTCAGGGTTCTCTAGAAAAACAGAACCAGTGAGACATATATATGCATGTATATATATATAGAGAGAGAGAGATTTATTTCAAGGGAGTGGCTCACAGTATCATGGGGGACTGGCAAGTCCAAAATTCATAAATCAGGCAGCAGGCTGGAGACTCCTGCTGGCTCACAGGATTGTGGGGGGATTGGCAAATCCAAAATCTGTAAGTCAGGCAGCAGACTGGAGAATTCTGCAGGCTTTCGTTCCAAGAGCCGTAGGTCAGGCAGCAGGAAGAGTGCATAGTTGAAAGACAGCAAGTTCTGCTGAAATTTCGATTTACATTTCTGAAGGCAGACCACATCCTAAGGAACTCCCCTTTCAACTAACTGATTGATTACGTTAGAGTAATTACATTATAGAAGGAGATTAGATTACACTATGAAACAGCAACTAGTCTAGTGTTTGGCAAAACCCCGGGGACCATAGCCTAGCCAAGTTGACACATAAAATTAACCATCACAGTTAGTCAAATTTGTAAAATGTTGATCCAAGGAGAGAGTAAAGAAATAAATAAAATAAAATAAAAACTCTGGGCAGATGCAATTTGACAGAGAATCACAATGCTTGCCAAACGTCTTGCTCTTTCGGTCATTCGTGGTAAGCTGCACTGAGCATGAGAGAAGGAACAGAGATGTGATCATTTAAGTAGCCTGTTCCCTAAATTTCATCCACAGATTATAAAAAGCATTTCAATTTATCCAAAAAGGCTTCACAATTTCAGGTTTATTTCTAGGTAATGAAGGCTGGTTGGCAAAGTAACAGAGAATGATCTCAGTTCCCAGGACTTACTCAGGAAGGGACTGAAGAACATAGAACTCACCAGGAAACGAAATGCAAACCCTGCAATTATAAGGAGGAGTCTTTCTTCACATCAGCCCCAGCAATGAGATGGCAAAGATGCTTGTGAGGAGGCAGTAAGGATAATAAGGCAGGCTATCATTTTCTCTTTTATTGCTTGATAGAGTTCCAAAACCTGCTAAGGGCATGTTTACAGGTAACAGCAGAAATTGCTATATGATGGTTACAGTGGTTTTCCCTTGGAGGTCTCATGCTTGTTTATTTGATTTTTTTTTTTTTTTGTGCCGGTGAAAATGACAGTACCAGAGAAGGAAACTAAGTTACCTACTATGTGTTCTAGATACATAACAAGGGTGAATGGTGTGGTTTTCTGCATTTAACGCTTAAGAGGTTCTGCCAACTCCTGGATCCTTGGAGAACATTGTGCCTTCATAGCAGCTGGCTTGACTTTAAAGACGTCTGGATCATAATATACAATACGCACAGGAGTCCTGAAATGGGAGATGGAAAGGAATTCAACCTGAAATACGGTAAACAGAAAAGGGAACTAACATTTCTCAAGCATCCAGTATGTGTTGTTGTTGTCAGTTGCCATTGAGTTGATTTCCACTCATAGCGACCCATGTGTTAGGCACTATGATATTATCCCACTTAGATTTTCATAAGCACCCTATGAAATAGGTATCATGACCCCAATTATAGAGACAAGGAAATGAAGGATCAAAATGGTTATAAGAATGGTTTATGGTCAAATCCAAATTTGCATATCTATCAGATTCCAAAGTTGGTGGTGCTATTTCAACAGAAAGTGAGTTCTGGAAATGTCTCAATAATCTGGCAATGTTAAAACAGGCCAGACAGTCATCTGGAGGACTTGAACAATTCAGGTTTTTTAAGTTCACCACCCTTAGCATCTTATCACACATAATAACTTCACCACTGAGATAAAGTCTTGAGCACTAAATCTTATTCTTCCCTTCCCTTCTTCACGGAACAGAGAATGAGTTTCATTTCACTTGATGCTGAACTTTATTTTTTTAAGGATAAACATGTTGTAAAAAATTTTTGATCTTTTATTCCATAAGAACTAACATCTTTCCTTTTCCCGGAGCTCAAGACATTTGCAAATTTTTTGGTCTCTCCTAGGTTCTCCTGATGATGCTTAAGCAGGGGGATCACGTGTTAGCCCTTACATAACAAAACAAATTGAGGTCCTCCCAAAAGCGAACAGGAATTAGAAGCAATTTCTTCTTTGTTAGATGTATTTGCTTATTTTCTTATTTATTTGAATTAGGTCATACATTTCCATGATGAAAAACCATTGAAAAAATACAAAAGCCTATTTAGTGAAAAATAATCTTCCTCCCATCTCAGTTGCCTAGGCCACCAAAGGCAACATTGTTACTAGTTTCTTCTTTATTCTTCTGAGATATTTTAGGCATATGTAAACATATATATGGTGCATATGTGTTTTTTTCTAACACAAACTGCAACATATTATGTGCTCTGTTCTGCAACTTGTTTCACTTAACAACATATGTTAGAAACAATTCCAAATCCATACCTATAGAGCTGTCTCGACAGTGAGGTGTAGAATTACCTTGCAAAAAGTGGCCTTTGTTCTTGGTTCTTTTGCGCCATACCAACACCTTAGGCTAATGAGTAGGGGCTGACCAGACCAAGAAGGACCACCCGGAGGCCCGATGTTGACTAAATATGATGTAATCTATCATAGCCATGTGATGAGGCTGATGAAAGCCCTCAGCGCTAAGGCTCAGATGAGCTTCCTGATTGGTGACCATGCACAGGAGATGGTAGTGTATCCCTCTTTGGGACATGGAAGATACACGCTATGACCCCTCCCAGAACTCACCCTATGCATCTCTTCATTTGCATCCCTTTTGGCTGTAATAAAGTTGTAGTTTTAAGTATGGTATACTCTTCATGAGATTCTGTAAGTTGCTACGGTGAATTAATAAACCCACAGGGGCAGTGAGAGCCAGCAGGGGCTGGCATCAGCCTATGTAGAAGTCTGAAAGAAGATGTCATTCTAACATGTGACCTCTGACCCAGCTTCAAGTGGCTAGGGTTGGAGAGACAGTGTATCATGTGATGGCTGAAGATGACAATAGAGAAATGGGAAGATGAGGACTGGATCCATTCCCATATTTTGGGGATTGGATTTATGCTGATCGTTACTACGCAGTTAGTAATGAAGGTGGGATTTGCCCACTGTGCCTTTTGTTTAGTGCAGTCTTATAGATCTAGTTTCAATACCAAGTCCACTAAACCTTTAATTGTAGCTTTGTATTTGTGGTAAGAAGATCATAGATTTGTCATAATAAATGTAACAAGTAAGTGAGATGTTTTTAAAATTTTTTTGTACAATTTCTACAATTCTTTTCATTGGCCTTTTAGGTCCTCCTCTCACCAACACCCCAACTTTTCCTGTCCCATCTTAGCATTAAATTGACATACCTTGTATTTGGATTAGCTAGCTCCTGAATTCTGGGAGAAAGTTTGGGATGGGTAGCAGCATAAGATACTGGCCAGCAGACATCACGGACTGGTAAATAATCTTGATGAAGAGGCTTGCTCTTAGCTAGAGTTGTTATTCGAGGGCTAGCTTTAGCATGTATGGCAGCAGGGGATATCTATAATGGAAACAAAGACATCCAAAAATATATCCCAAATTTCACCACTTTCTCTATCTCTACTGCTACATCGCTAATCAAGTAACCATCATTTCTCCCCTGGATCACTGCAAAAGACTCCTAACTGGTCTCCCTGCTCCCATTCTTGCCCCTCTGCAATCTAATCTTGGAATAGCACTTACTTAGGAAAAGAATGAATGTTTACTGAGTGCATAATATGAGCCAGACACTGTACTGAGTGTTCACCTATAGTATGTGCACTTGAAATCATGGAAACCGCATGTGTTTCAGAGTAGAACTGTGCTCCACAGGGTTTTCAATCCCTGATTTTTCAGAAGTAGATTGCCAGGCTTTTCTCTGAAGTGGACTCAAACTTTCAACCTTTTGGTTAGCAGCTGAGACTGTTAACTGTTTGCACTGGTAAAATTTGTGCCTTCTATATCATGGAAGAAAAAATAGGGTCAACACTAAACCAAAAAAACTAAACCCATTGCCGTCGAGTCGATTCTGACTCATAGACTAGGGGTCCTAATATATGGCATAAAGAGCATACAAACCGTAATTAACAATACACAAACACAAGAAGATAAGATAGATAAATGGGATCTCCTAAAAATTAAACA